TGAACAAGGGTTTTCATATAATATTTGGTATAAAGTTTGGCTTCCCATAGAGCTGATGATCTCCAGTAGCAAAGCTATATGAGGTACCCAGGAAGGAGGAGCTCCCACAATTACCATTTCTGCCATGGCCTCTGTATTATTCATTGGATGAATGTCTTCTGTGCCATAAACCCATCCCAACATGGTTTACATGTGTAGAACATCAACTGCTTCTTCTGGAATGTTCTATTTGTTACTTAGACAAGGAGAGAAGTTGTTTGTCTTGGAAGGATAAACAAACCTAATCACATAACTAATCCACTCTATCAACCTAATTGTCTTCTCTGGGTTAATCTGTTGTGTGACTGTATCTTGCAATGTCTTTCATGACTGTTATATAGATAATTGTGGGTCTTACATTAATCCAAATATGCTCCTCCATTCTGCAGCACTCAGAACCGCAGATGCTGCCCCTAAATTCATCACTCTTACAATCCATTTTAGTAATGCTTCCAGAGGAAGCTGCGATCTATAAACTAATGCATTTCCCCTATGCCATAAACCCTGGTTGAAACAGTTTCCCGATCTTCCCTAGTTTTTTGTGACCATACACCAGAGAAGTACTTCTAGTTGCTCCCACATGGGTTGTGTTTGGTTCCCCCCGGTAGAGCCTGAGATTAAGGGGTGTGACTCTGTCCTGGTAGGATTTGTTCAGTTCTGATTTCAGTCATCTTAGTTCCTACACACTTTTCTCTTGCATATGCTGCCACTACTGAGAGCAACTGGAAGGAGGAGTGGCATCCACTTCCGTAACAGATTGTCTCCAGAAACCCTAAGAACCTGGAGAGAGGATGAGAGACACCCAAGCGTTGAGGACTCCTTCATAGGGTCGCTATGAGTCGCCTGTGACTCGACGGCACTTAACAACAACAACAACAACAACTGAGAGCAAAAACCAAGGATTGTAAATTTCATTCTATCCTTATGACCCTGTATTTCTGTGTGTATCTAGTTAACCAGCTTTTCAGAAGTTAGGTCCACTAACTTCATATCCCATGAGTGACTTTTGCCTTATGTAACTGACTGTACCATAATAGCTGCCTTAACCCATGGGTATTCTTTATCCCATTCCCAAGACCAAAGATTTCTCATTCTTTTGTTTACCCCCTTTTTACCAAAGACATATGTTACAAAGAGTATGAACCTTCGTAGCAAATCTCAATACTCTAACATCAGTTGTATACATATTTCATTTAGCTAAGATTAGTATTGACATGGGAAAGTCTGCTGTTAGGGACCTCTCTAAAGTACTCAAGAGCAACGGTGTGTCTCTGGAAACTAAGGTGCATCTGGTACAGGCCATGGTCTTTGCAATCACTTGTTATGCATCAGAGAGCTGGACAATGACCAAGGAGGATAGAAGGAGAATTGATGCCTTTGAGCTTTGGTGTTGGAGAAGAGTGCTGAAGGTGCCATGGACTGCTAAGAAAACAAACAGATTCATCCTGAAGAGGGTTAAACTGAGCTGCTCCTTGGAGGCAAGGATTCTGAGGCTTTGTCTGACATACTTTGGTCATGTTGTAAGGAGGGACCAGTCCTTGGAGAGGGACATCATGCTTGGGAGGGTGGAGGGCAGGCGCCGGTGGGGAAGGCCCTCTGGCAGATGGACTGATTCGGTGACTGGGGCAATCGGGATGAGTGTGTCGGAGGCAATGAGATTGGCATAGGACAGAGCACAGTTTAGAGCTGTTGTACATAGGGTCGCTGTGAGTCTCAAGCGACTCGATGGCACATGACAACAACAACAAGATTAGTATTAGGAAGCTCTGATGGTCTAATGGTAAGAAGCTGCACTGTAATCCTGAAAGCCTGTGGTTTGAATCCATCAGCTGCTCTGCAGGAGAAAGATCTGCCTTTGAGGACCTGTTAGAGGGTCACCTATGGGTTGGCTCTGACTTGATGATATTCAACAACATAAATAATTACAGACCAGTTACAAGAAGACTTGAGTCTATATTGTCCCAGATGCTTGGTGTGCTGTAGAATTATCCATAATTTCTGACATCAATAGCTCCTCCTCTGATCAGTTCCCCAGCTTCTCTATGCGCCTTGGGTTTGATGGTTCACTCAAGAGGATTTCCAGAGACTCAGACCCATCAGGGGAGTGACTCATATGACTGGAGGTATGCAGGCTGGTTTTGCAGAGACTGATGAGTATTATAGATCACGCTTTGAAGGCAAGCCTCCCCAAAAAAAGAGAGCTAGCACTGAGGTCTCATGAGTTTATATAAGCTTCTTATGGGGCAGGCTTGTATCCCATCCAGTCCTCTCTCCTTAATACAATAAATAGTTGAGCACAAAATAAAGTTAATCATTGGCTAGGAAAGACATTTTGGATGATAAACCTTGGACTGAGAAACAGACAAAGAAAATTATCAAACCAAATTATTAATACTATATGCAAATAAAATCTTGCCAAAGATTATTCAAAATAGTCTAGAAAAGTACATCTACAGGGAAATTCCAAAAATTCAGGCTGGATTAAGAAGAGGCTGTGTCACAAAGGGAATGATGCTAGGTGGACTTTGGCTGAAAGCAAAGAATACTAGAAAGATTTCTAGTTTTGTTTTGTTTTATTGATTAAACAAAGGCATTTGACTCTGTGGATCATAACAAATTATGGATATCATTGAGAATAATGGGATAATGGGGATCTCAGAATACTTAATTGTGCTAATGAGAAAGCTATCTATAGATCTAGAAAATGTTATCTGAACAGAACAAGGGAACACTGTATGGTTTCAAATCAGGAAGGATGTGCATGAGGTTTGTATCCTTTCTCCATACCTATTCAATCTGTATGCTGAGCAATTAATTCCAGAAGCTGGACTATAAAAGGAAGAATGTAGCATTAAGATTGAAGGGAGACTCACCAACAACCTGTTTAATGCAGATCATAACCTTGCCTGCAGAAAGTGAAGATGATTTGAATTAATTACTGTGGAAAATCAAAGACTGAAAAAAACCTCAATGTGGGTTACATCTCAACATCAAAAAACCAAAAATTTTCTCCACTGAACAAACAGGCAACATCATGATAGATGGCGAAAAGACTGAATTTGCCAATGATATAATCTTACTTGAATCCACAATTAATAGTCATAGTAAATGTTGTCTTTATGTGCCATCATGTTGCCTGTGACTCATAGCGTACCTATGTAAAACAGCCCTAAACCCTGTTCTACCCTGTGCCAAACTTATAGTCTTTGACACACTTACCCCCATTTCCCCATCACTGAATTATAGTAATAGCAGTCAAGAAATCAAAACATGTGCTGCATTGGGTCAAAGACCTCTCCAAAGCTCTAAGGAGTAAATATGTCAGTTAAAAGACTAAAGTGCCATGGTTATTTGCAGCTGCTTTCTATGTGTGTAGGAGTTATATAATAAGAATACAGAAGAAGAAGTGAGGCCTTTGAAATGTGGAGTTGAAGAAGTATCCTACGGACTGAAAAAAAAAGCAAATAAATCTGTCTTGAAGGAAGTGCAACCAAGGTGAACCTTAGATGCAAGGATGATGAAACTTCCTATCACATTTTTGGGGTTATGTTGTCAGGAGGGACCAGTCCTTGGAATAAGACATCATGCTTAAGTATATGATGGGTCAGAGAACAAAAGAAAGAACTAAATATTACGATGGTCCTCTACTACGATCACATCATCCACTCCCATCCTGTAGAGCCTGACCCAAGATGTTACATCTTTTTCCACCTCTCCTGTGGAGTGACTGATGCTCTCAAGCTGTAGACCTTCCAAACGAATGTGTGTATCCTCACAATTCAATGCCTGTGTTCAATTCGCAATGGTCTCAATGCACTTTCCATGTATTTGAAGAATAATTTGTTTCGATTGTGTTGTGGCGGTTCAGTACAGAGGACTCAAGAAACTGAGACCTCAGGAGAGGAAATTTAGGCGCTAATCATAAACAGCCAGGAAATTAAAAGATGTATTGCGATGGGAAAGTCTGCTGTTAGGGACCTTTCCAGAGTACTGAAGAGCAATGGTGTCACTCTGGAGACTAAGGTGTGCCTGATACTGGCCATGGTCTTTGCCATTACTTGCTATACAGCAGAGAGCTGGTCAGTTACTAGGGAGGATAGAAGGAGCATTGATGCTTTTGAGCTGTAGTGCTGGAGAAGAGTACTGAATATACCATCGACTGATAGGAAAACGAACAGGTTCATCCTAGAGAGGGTGAAACCAGGTTGCTCATTGGAGGCCAGGATTCTGACATACTTTGGACATGTTGCAAAGAGGGAACAGTCCTTTGAGAGGGACGTCATGCTTGGGAGGGTGGAGGGACAGCGCAGGAAAGGAAGACCCTATATGAGGTGGATTGATTCAATAACTGGGGTAACGGGTGGGGTTAGGTGTGTGGAGACAATGAGGCTGGCATAGGACAGAGCAGGGTTTAGGGCTATTGTACACAGGGTCGCTATGAGTCGCAGGCGACTCAACGGCACATAACAACAACAAAAACAACATCCTAAGCAGAGAGATGTAATCAATCGGCTTTAGAGCCCGGGAGAGGAGGTTCCAACTGTGTCAGACCCTTCCCAGCCACAGCCAGGCGTGAAAGCCTTGTCTCTTCTAGCTTCCGTGCCCACTCGCCTGTCCTCGCTCCGGCCCCGCCCCTAAGCCCCACCTCCGCCCCGCTCCAGGCCCCGCCCCCGAGCCCCGCCTGGTCTCTGCTTCCACGCCCCGATTCTTCATCCCAAGCCCCGATCGCACCTTCAGGTTGTGGCCCGACCTCTATCTAGGCCCTGGGCTTGTCCCTTGCCCCGCTCAGTCCCCAGCTCCACAGCTTGGGCTCAAGACCCTTCTCCGCATCCTGGGCCCGCCTTCTCCAAGAACCACACAGCTCCGACCTGGCCCCGCCTCCCGAGAGCGGAGATACACCCGTGCGGGGTCACGGGGCGTGGCCAGGGTCACGGGGCGCCAGGTGCGGCTTCCGTGTCAAGATGGCCGCCGCCAGCCATCCCTGTTCCCGGCTTCCTTCGCGTCACCCCCGGCCCACTGGCGTCCGGCTGCTGCACGTTGCTCTATGGCTTCTCTTCTGGGCCCTCGTGGCTGTAGACGCCGTCCCGGAGCCCGGACTTTGGGTTGCGACGGTCAACGAAGTAAGTGGTTGTAGAATCCGTGGCGGGGCGCCTCCTGGGCCCTTCGGGGTCTCCGGCGACTCGCCGCTTGCACGTGTCCAGCCCCACGAGCTGGGCCGCAGGCTCCTCTTCGTGCCCCGGGCCCCGCCCCTCGGGCAGGCTTGGGGGGCCTTCTCTCTGATAGGAGCAGATTTGCGCACCGAGATGCCTCTCCTTTTGGTAACGCTGTCATTGTTCATGAACGAGGATCACTTTGCCCGAAGGATTTGCCTCTTGCTCAGCTCTGATCGGGACCTTGTGGATTAAGACCTGAACCCCGAATCTTGTGGCGTCTGTGGAGTCTACCGGATGCTGCCCATCCTTGAAGCTGCAGAAAGACTTTCCGCACTTCGGCTTAATACCCATGCCGCTTCTTTTCCCCACCTCACCCCCAGCACCTCTCAATGAGGAAGGAGTACGGACTGGTCATTCTTCACTTTCCAGATTTCCTCCTGGAGTATTTCGGGACAGTGTGTTTGGAGGTGGCAGGAGTGAGGAGTGTGTGAAAGGGGGCAGGCCATTTGAAAGCTTGGCATCCAGCTGTCAGATGTTGGGAAGTGGGAGGGATGCAGGGATAGAATTATGGAAAGTCCAGCTGGAGAGAGGCAGGAAGTTGGGGAGAGGCATTATCCTGGTTTTTATTGGGTCTCGCTTAGTTGTATGTTTGGAATGGGCGCGCTCTCCATGTTTTGAATTGATGTCCGTATTCTAAAGGCGGAACATTGATTCCTCAGGCAGAGAAAGTAGCCGGTGACTCCAGTGACAACACAGAGCTGCTCGGAGAAGCAGATGATAGTGGCTTTTCAGGATCAGTACAGTCATTTCTACCAGGAAGCCTTCTCTTTGACGACTCTTGATTTTGTGCACTCTTCGTATTGTCTCCATATTTCAAATTATTGAATTTATCTGCCCAGTATAATATTCAGTGAACAATACTTAGGGCTTCCATCTACTTATGTATGGAATGGGCAGGTTTTAATACTGTTCTCTACCATCAAGTCAGAAACGACTCACAGCGGATCCTCCAGAGGGTTTTCAGAGGCAATAACTCACATGGGGGCAGACTGCCCATTCTTCTCCCATGAAACAGCTGTGGGTTAGAACTGCATACTTTTGAGTTGGCAGCATAGCACCTTAGCACTGAGCCACGACTTGAATGTGTCTGGAAGGCTGGTGGTGTGAATTCAACCAACAAATGACCGAGTCTTGCACATGGCAAAAAAATGTTTCTTCTGGTCACAAATAAGTTTTAGCCTGAGTTGTCTTGTTTGATCCAGATCTGTATAAAACCCAACTTTATGAAGACTGGGCTCATTTCACCCCATTTTTGATAGTAATAGCAAAACTGTGATTACTGGGTGCCAGACTCTAGACTGGTTAGTCATGTTGCAGAGATCAATTTAAACAGGCCCTTTTTCCAAGAAGCTCATGTGATAGTAAGTAGCGCAGATTCTTGAATAGTTAGTGGTCTTGTATATGGTGGCAGGTTGTATCATTCCTAGAGTACAGCTAGAAGGTGCTTAGTCTTACTTTCTGAAGTATCTGGCCTGGTCTTAAATGATGAGTAGGTATTACTTTGGTCAAGAAGGAGTAGAGTAGCACGGAGCCACCACCATGTGCCTGGACAGTACAGGGAGTTCCCAGTGTTTCTGATCAAAGCGAGGCTGGTGAGCATGCCAGAGAGGACTAAGGTCTCCAGAAGTTAGCTTTGAGCATGAGGCCAGGAGTCTTGAACTTCAGAACCTGCTTGAATCAGACAAACTGTGGCAGTGGGTGTAGTGAGCCAGCTGTAGGACAGGAGTAGGTGGTAGGGAATATGACGATGACAGAGTGCAGGGCCTTTTTGAAGAGGGCAGCTGTCATCTGCTTCCAGCTAGTGGATAGCAGTGGTGCAGATACAGAATTTCTTGGTCTCATTTTAATTTTTTTTTTTTTGTTACTGTTTGGTGTTTTTGGAAGTGAAGTCAGAATCTTTATTTTCCTTATATGAAATAACAAATTTTAAATGTGATCAACTAATATTTTTTTTAAAACTCTGGAGGGTCAGCACCATGAGTTGGTTCCAACGTAAGGCATAGAATAACACTACTACACAACAATTGCAGAAGTCTACACAGTAAATGGTGAGTTCCTGAATTGAGACACTAATAGTCAGGAAAACTAAATTTGGAAAATGTTTGTGAGATAAAGGAGGCATCTGGGATAGAAGAGTTGAAGGACTAAAAAGAACCACAACTTGAATGACTGGTTTAGTACCACCTTCAACCAAGATTGATGTGTTGGAAGAGATGGTAAAGCACAGAGAGAGGTGTGTCTGCTGTGAAGCAGCTTAGTGTGGCATGTTTGTTTGATGTGGATCTGGAGCTCAGAGAAGGAATCCAGGCTATGGATTTTGTGATTATTGTTTGTGCTTGAAGTAAAGAGGTTCCCAAAAAAAGACTGATTGGTCCTGTATGTTTTTCTTTAAATCCTAATCTCTCATTCTTTTTATTTAAAAAAAAAAACAAAAAAACAACAAAACCACCAAAAACCACTTCTCACAGGATGCATATTCTTGAAGGGGACAGACATGAAATAACTCAGTAATCAATTACATGATTTCAGTTGTGAGAAGGCTTGTGCATCCTTGAACTGTATAAGGGAGAGCTTGGCCTGGTCTGGGCACCCGCAGACTTCTTGAGGGACTATAGCATGGCATTGAAGGCTGAGAAGGAAAGAACTAGATAGAGAAGGGGTAAAAGAACATTTTAAATCAATTTTTAGGTTGACCAGCAAAGCTCCAGCAGAATGGAAACTAAATTTCTAAGAGCCAGACAGGTCTTGATTCAAGCCATAGTCTTTTCAGTCACTTGCTATGTATCTGAGAGCCAGACAGTGAATAAAATTAACAGAAGAAGAGTCAGGTGCATTTGAGTTGTATTTGTTGGAGAAGATTAGTGAATATCTCATTTGGACTGACAAAAGAACAAATAGGTGTTGGGGAAAGGGCAAATAGGATGCTCCTTTTAGGCAAAAATGACAAACTTCATCTCATTTATTTTGGACATTTTAGGAGAGAAAAAGACATCATGCATGGGAAAGTTGAGGATCAGAAAAAGAGAAAGACATTCAACCAAATGGATTGACAGTGTCTATAACAATGGACTCAAGTATATCAGAGATGATGAGCATGGCCCAGGATAGGGCAGAGTTCAGATTGGTTATTCATCCATAAGGTCATTATGAGTAGTAGTCTGCTTGAAGGCACATAACCACAATAGGTTCGTGGAAGACTTTTGGTCTGTTTTAAGAACAGTCTAAAACATAACAATTTGAGGAGGAAGATAGTTTTTTTTATTTAAGGTACATTTCTCTTGTACCCAAGAGAAGATAGATAGATAATTTGTACACAGATGGCTCATCTCACATCTGAGCAGCAGCAGAAATTGAGGTGTGACCGCAGCCCTACTTTATGTCTGTCCCCTGTCAACTGCACGGAGTAGACACAAGGTACAAGGCTTTAGGTAAGTGAGGGATGTGGTCACATTTCCATTAAAAGTAGTAATCACACTGGCCAAAGGGAGGAAGACAAGGATTAGAACTGTGTGTTTTCTAGGGTCAAATGATAGGCACTTTTAAACAGTAGAACAATTTTTTTAACATTTTCTATTTCTTTGTTTTTCCTTTTAGAAGTCTGGACCATTGATATTTAGGAAAACTATGTTTAACTCTACTGATATCAAGTTTTCTGGTAAGTTGTCTTGTGCCATCAAGTCAGAACTTCCTTCTCTTAACCCTGTAACAGATCTTCAGAGGCAGTAAATCTCATGGGAGGAGATTGCCCATCCCTCTCTTTCAGAGCAGCGGGTAGATTCAAACCATGTGCCTTTGGGTTGGCACCACAGCTTTTTAACCCTTAGACCACTAGAGCTCCCTATATAGCAGTTTATAACCGCTCAGCCACTAGAGCTCACAAAGTCTTTTGTAAACTAGTAGTATTTTATATTAATTTAGTATGAACTACGGTTATATGCCGTATTGTGTATAATATTATGTATGTTATAAATAATAAACTTTGGAGATGTTTGTCTTTAAGTGATTTTAACATTCCAGGGTTATTTTTTATTTCAGTTAAGGCTTGGTTATTTGCAAGAGTGGATTTTCCTAATCCTGTCTCAGAAAATATAATATGAATCAGTCCATAAAAATCATAATTAAAGTCTGCAATAGTCAACTTTATAAAAAATAATTTACCTTTGTGAAATGTGACTATGAACCTCAGGTTTTAAAATGAAATAATTCCTTTTATGAATATTTGTGAATATTTTATAAACATGACTTATTGTAATTATTATATTGTTGTTGTTTGCCATCAAGTGAGAACAGACCCTATTGCTTACTCTCCAGCAGGTTTTTAGAGGTGGTAAATTGCATGAGAGGAGGTTGCCCATATTTCTCCTTTAGAGCATCTGGTAGATTAGAACCATGTACTTTTGGAATTGCAGTGCAGATTCTTACCACTTGGCCACTAGAGCTACCTATAATAATGTTATGCACCCAATATTCTAAATGTACATGATTTTATGAATTGACTCAGTGACATCTAACAATAACAGCAACATTGTATGAAATAAAAATTGCTAGACAGTCTCATTTCAGTTAGTGTTTTAAGGATTTGTGAAAGTGAAAATATTTGCTAGGTTGGAACTGACTTTTCTATGGAAAAGCTCATTTAGGGAGGCTACTGCATCGTGAGCTTGAGATTTTCCAGTGTTTTTAATGGATCTCGGATGATTCATAGGAGAGTTGGTAGCCATTGTCAAATACTTGTAACAAAAAGGTCAGCTGTTTAGACCTGCCAGTTTCCCCAAAGGAGAACAACATGGCAGTCTACTTATACTTTTGTAAAGAGTACAGGCTCAGAAGCCCTGTAGGCATTTCTGCCTATAGGGTTGATACGATGGGAGTTGCAATTGGCTTACCAGAAGTGGGTTTTAAGATATACTCTATTATATTCACCATTTGTTATTGTTTCCAGCAATTTGACCTAGACAGTCGTTTGCCAGACTTAAGGTTAAGGGTAAAGAGCAGTTTGCCTTTACTCTAACAAAATAAGTACCTAACAGATTGGCTTACCCAGGCTCCAAGGTGGTGCTTTGGGGCCTGCTGTGCTCTCCAGGCCTGTCTAGTACTACATAATGAGCCTTTGCTGAAGGAAGCAGACCAGCTATCAGCTAGAAAGCAGAGGTGGTTCAGAGCAGCTCTGAGGTATCAGATTCAGTGGTGATCAGGATGTTCTTAGTATGAGGAAGTCTAAAGTGGGTGGGGAAAAAATGGGCATTTGATTAATGAATTAATTTCTCCAAGTATAGACAAATTGGACATTTACAAAACCCTTAGACTAGTACAGGGGAAAATAAAGGCCTGTGGGTCACAAATGCAGAATTTTGTCTTTAAAAATCAATACACAGGCATGAGATCAGCTTAATGGTAGACAGGAAGTGAGACAGTGACATGAACATAACAATTGTTACTTATTAACTCCAAGAACCTTGTTTCCTGCCCATGCCTTCAGTGAAGTTTGAACTACTTTCTTCAGCACCCATGATTCTGGTTATATGCTCCCTTTTGATATGATTGTATTTCAGTTAGTCATGTTCCAGTGAACCAGGAATCAAGAACAAAGATGCAATTTTTGTTAGTTCTAAACCCCACAACACCTAAGTCTCCCTTCAGATCTTCTCCTAGTTCTTTACATGCATAGAAGCTGCTGGGTGATGGCAAAGAGTTAATGCACCCAGGTAAGGGTGGTTCCACCAGAGATGCCTTGAAAGAAAGCCTGATTATCTCTGAGCCCAGCAGTCAGCCATGGAAAACCTGTGGAGCACAGTTCTCCCATACACAGGAGATCATGTATCCACCATCAGAATTACGCTGTTGTTTTTGTGCTCTTGAATGAGAACCAGCGCATAGCCGACCCTTAAGTGGGTTTTCAGTCTGTAAATTGCGCGAGAGATTTCCTATCCTACCATGGAGTGGCTGGTGAATTCAAACTGCCTGCCTTTGTGTTGACGTCCCAGCTCTTTACTCATTAGGCTACTAGAGCTCCCTCAGAATTGATAGAAGGTTATTATATGTGACTAACAAAGTATCACACATATGAACCTTACAGCAGTATGCTTTTCTCATTCCTATTCTTTGTGCCATTGTACTTTATTCCTACACATATTACAGATAATTTAATTGCTTACTTTTTAATTGAACCCAGTAAGTAATGTTTACCAATTCCAGCAATGTTTTGATTTTCTTTGATACATCAATGATAGATAGCACCTCTAAGGCTGTCTCAGATCCTATCTCAGCTCCCGTCATAGCTCATGTTCTAGTGAAAGTACCTGTTTCCTTCTCAACCCTTTTCCCACCTTATATTGTCACAGACAAGGGTGGTTCTTACATTCAGTGGCATCAAATCCTGCCATGCAGAAGACCTCGCCATTTCTTGAATGAACATTTTAGTGAAAAACAAGCATGGGTCAGTACATCAAGTTACTCTTTAGTTGATTTTAGAATGTCTGATAAGACAGTAGACTGAACATTGGACTACTAACCAGAAGTTGCGTGGTTCAAATCCACCAGCTGCTCCAATGAAGAACACTCAGGTAGTCTATGCTGTAAAGCTCTGGGAAATATGTCAAGCAGTTCTCTGTTCTAGTATGTTGTTTTGAGGCAGAAACAACTCAGAACTCAGGGATTAGGTTTAGTTAATTTTAACATTGGCCTCAATACATGGATAAAAAGAATACCATTCATCAACTTTCTGTTAATTCTGATGACTTAAAGAGTTTCTGCAATGAATTTTTGGAGAAAGTAGATAGTATCTTAATATTACTTGAAAATAGTTTATCTAAATTATATTCTTGAAATCTTTATCCTAGAGTATATTTACTATTAATGTAAAATGAGACTTTGGGTTTGTTGTTTTTTTTCTAAACAGTCAAGTCATTCAGTTGCTCTGGGCCTGTGAAGTTTACCATACAGTGGCATTTGAAGCACCATATTTGTCGCAATGAATTTCATGAGCTGGAAGTAAGTAAGTCACTAAGTGAGTAACTGGTGGATTCAGACCTTGTGTCTTTGTGTCAGCAGGGAATTTCCTTTCCACTAGGCCACCAGTGCTCCCTAAAACAACAGTCTTTGTTTCTAACTTTTGCATTTCAGTTACCAGGTAGTTTCCCATGCATGTTGATTGTGTTTGATCAGTATCAAAATCCTGGTGGCATGGCTTCCAGAACTGGAGTTACGAACCACCAAAGTACAACAGACTGACAGATGAATGACACAAAGGGACTGTGGGTCACCTCCAATTAAAAATCAAGCCATTTTGAAAACAAATCAAAATGAACTTCACTTTATTTCAGAAATGAGCAATAGGGTACATTAAAAAATTTAGTCCAGGTATATATAGTGAATATAAGTTGGTTTCCAAGAGAAAGGGAAAGAATAAAGGAAGACAAAAAACAGTGATGTGCATGCAAGAGGAAAAAATTGTGTCAGCCTCCTTCTGCCCTGACACTCCAGCCTGTGGCTGCTTCCGCACAGGGCCTGTGCTAGATCCTCACTCTGAGCCTGTTGGGGCTTAAGATATTCTCTTGACAATTACTTGGGACCTTTTCTCTTTAGATTCTCTGTTATTTTTGTCTTCTCCCATCATAGCAAAAGCTATTTTCATCTTGTTGCTTATCGCTGAAAAGTTAAAATCAACTCTAGCTGAGCCTCTAGCAGGCTTTCAAAGCTAGTAAATCACAAGGTTTGCCCATCTTTCTCCTGTGGAGCAGCTGGTGGACTCTGCCCTCCCACCTTTGGGTTGACAGCACTACTCCTTGCCCACTAGACCACCAGAGTACATTCCAAATTACAGTGACTACAGGAGCAAGTAAAACTGCACTTTATTCATTGTCCAACTTTTAGAGGCATAGGACGTAATTGAAAAGACCATAGCTTGAATGAGACATACCTTAGTCTTTAAAGTGACAACCTTGCTCTCTCTAGCACTTTTTCCCAATGCAACATGTCTTTTGATTTCTTGACTGCTATTACCCTGGGTATTGATTGTGCATCTAGGTAAAATGAATTCTTTAACAACTTCAGTCTTTTCTCCATTCATTGTAAAGTTCCTTGTTGGTCCAGTGGTGAGGATTTTTACCCTCAGTGAAATAGATTAATATGGTGATACCAAGTAGCCTACACTGCTGAGAAGACCTCTTAAATCAGATAAGATGGATCATATCTATTGATCTGATCTGCTTCTAATCCTGCCTTATTAACATCACAGAGCTTAGATTCTTAGCACACAAGATAGTTACCTTGTTTGAGGGTGATGGTCACACTGAAACACAATATTGACCATCACAAATATTTTAAATTTTGTTTATCTTTTTAGATAAGAGTTATAGGAATAAATCGTAACATAGATTTTTCCTTTGGTTAGGAGCTGGTAAAAAACCATGAACTCCATGCTGATGAAGACTTCTGTGATCATTATTTCAAGAATATTGACTGTTGGACAACAAAATCTGAAAACTTAGATTGCAACAGTGATATACAGTTGTTTCCTTCATTAACTGTGAGTATCTGCCTTGCCATGTTTATCTTATTCCTAATGAATGCAAATCAAGGTAAATTCTTTTGGGATGCTTAATTTAAAAATGTAACTTCATTGAGTTTAGTTTGTCATGTGTTTGTGTAATCATATGGAAGTAAAATATCAATACCTTGTTTATTTAAGATGTGGGGAAGACCCTCTGTGAGGTGGATTGATTCAGTGACTGGAGTTATCGGGATGGGTGTGTCAGAGGCAATGCGATTGGCACAGGATAGAGCAGAGTTTAGGGCTGTTGTACGTAGGGTCGCAAACGACTCGACGGCACATAACAACAACAACATCACTAATACATCCTTCCCTTTTCAATTTTTTTATTCTTTCTTCGTTTTTGTAAAAGTTGAGTGAAGCTTTACAAATCATATTGACTTTTTATGCTCTCTAACACATCTGTCATTTTTCTATCCACTCCCTCAGCGTTTTGCTCACACCATTCCTATACAGTTGCTCTATAGTCAAGATGACCAGTTACTTCATTAGTATTGATATTTTTATTATGTTAAAAAATCCTTTGAAATTCTAATAGGAATTCTTTTACATTTATGCCGTGATTTGGAGACTTTTACCTTTATAATATCAAACCATCCCAGAGAAATTATAATCTCTTCATTTTTGTCTTTCAGTAAAATCTATAACTATGTTTTTACAAGTTTGTATAATTTTTGTTAGCTTCATGCTTCTTGCTTATTGTATTTAGTTAATAGATGCTACTATTTTAAAAGGTAGTACTAAGATTGTAGGTGTAAGGATTACCTATAGTCTTACGCTTTCAAATAACCACAGTTTAAAAATATAGAATGATTAAATCATGGTGCATCAATGTGTTATTACATAGGAGAATTTAAAAGAACTTACAGTGCTTTGTTCACAGAAAAATAGTTATAAAATAGTACATCTTTCTTGTTCTCATTTTTAATCACATTTAGAAACAATATTTGGATAGCTACCTTGAAAAATTTTAATAGCTATCATCCTTAGCTGTGTTGTGATTATATCATTGAGTTGATTATGATGCACAGCAACCCTGTGAACCTGACTATGAAGTCATACTAATTTATTTTTGTTCTTCAGTAAATCCTGAAATGAAAATAGAGCTTTAGTAAGTAGTGGAAAGTCCTTTACAAAATTTGTGTTAAAGTGTAATAAGCATACAGAAGAGATCCTATCACACAAATGTACAGCTCAAAAACTCATACCTGCATGAACACTGCTTAAAACAACATATTTGTGCCCCAGAGACGCACCCCTCTGCTCCCTTTTACTCCCTAACACCCTTCCCACCAAAGGTAGCACTACTTTGCTCAAGGAAATTATCTTAATAAGCAGGATTTTGTTGCTCATTGTTAGGGCAGAGTAAGATTTGTACTCTTTATGTTCAACTTTCTTTATTCCCTTTAATACATTTTTAATTATTGAAATTTTTAATTGTTAAAATCGTTTTCCTTTTTATCAGTGCAACACTATAAACTGGAACTGTTTTATTCTTTTTCCCCAGAATAAAGAACTAATGTCAAATAACAGAAATGTTTCAAACCAAGAAGGATCAACAGTGAGTCATTTTGTCTCTCCATAAAAGCACAAGTTAATGTTAATAAAAGTCATATTTACGTTGGACTGTACTCTGTTAGTATACAATAGTGTTGTGACAAAATTTGCAATGTTGTGAAATTACCAGTGTGTTACACAAATACAAAGTAAGACATACCATTGGAAAAAAGGTGCTGATAGACTTGAAGGAAGGGAGGTTGCCACAAAGCTTTAGTCTATAAAAATTACAGTATGTTGGAAATGCAGTAAGCAAAGTTCACTGTGTTCCTGTACATTTTTTTATGTATCTATATGTTGTTACTGTGTACGTATGGAGTTGGAACTGACTCTTAGTTGACCCCTGCAGTGGATTTTCAGAGGCAGTAAGTTGCATTGAAGGAGACTGTTTATCTTTTTTCTGTGGAGCAGCTGGTGGATTCAAACCCTGTACCTTTGGGTTGGCAGAACATTTCCTTAACACTAGACCACCAAATTTATAAAAGCTCCGTCACACATACGTTCGTCGTACTACTTATTGTTGTTGTTATGTGCCATCGAGTCGCTTGCAACTCATAGCGACCCTATGTACAAGAGCTCTATAAGCTCTTCTATCCTGTGCCAAGCTAGCCATCTCAAACACACTTATTCCTACCTCTCTAGTCACAGAATCGATCCATCTCATCAAAGGTCTTCCTCTCCTTCGCCGCCCCTCCACTCTGCCAAACATGATGTCCCTCTCCAAGGACCAGTCCCTCCTTGCAACATGCCCAAAATATGTCAGACAAAGCTTCCGAATCCTTGACTCCAGGAACATTCTGGCTTCACCCTCTCCAGGACAAACCTATTTGTTCTCCTAGCAGTCCATGGTATAGTCAACACTCTTCTCAAGCACCACAGCTCAAAGGCATCAATTCTCTTTCTATCAACCCTAGTCACTGTCCAACTCTCCATTGCATGGCACGAAATTGTGAAGACTATAGCCCGGATCAGGCGCACCTTAGTCTCCAGTCTGACATCGTTGCTCTTCAGTACTCTTGAGAGGTCCCTCACAGCCGACTTTCCCAGTGCAATTCGTCTCTTGATTTCCTGGCTGCTGTTACCAAGAGTGTTGACCG